TCCTGGGCATCCATGTGACGGAGGACGAAGGCCAGAGGCCATGGGATAAAACCATTGTCCCAGGATGGAGAGCTGCAGGGACCCTGGGTACTGCTGGTGAGAAGGTACTAAGGACACATACAACCTGGGCTCCAGGTGTCCTATGGCCGTGTATAGACTCCAAGGAAAACTACACACAGATCCATAGGGGAGACTCATCAGACCAATGTTGACCTTCAATTTCTCATTTGTATCATAAAAGTTGTTTGTTTGTTTGTATTTGTCCCACGAGCCTGAAGGCTCCTTGCTCAGCTTTAGTATGAGAGTGTCCTCTCTCCGACCCCAGGGCTGAGAAGGAGGCCAAGAACCAGTCACCTCCTTGGGGAGAAAACTCAGTGGGGAGAAAACAAGAGCAAATGGAGAAGATGACAAGTGGGAGAGATGACTCAATTGGTCCCTGTTACCCTGATCCAAGACACAGCCTCAGGGCTAGAACACAGAACAGAGGGCGGGGGTTTCACCCTCTACTCTAGAAAAACAAATACACAGGTGCTTCCTACTCCCAGCATGTGTCTGGTACCCTCTGGGCGGCCAGCCCGTCTTGGGACAGAGACCACCCTGTAGTTGGTGAGCCTGACCAGCCCACCAGTGTTCTAGGGAGACAGCCGGGAGGAGGTGGGATGCAGCAGAAGCTGGTGGTCCCCTAGGTGTCACCTCTTCCCAATCTCAAGTGCAGCCCTGGAGTTGAGGGAAGAAGCACCTTCCCCTCAGGGAGTGTGAGGATGTCACTGTGAAGGTGCCAGCACCTTCCTCTGTCGGAACTCAGTTTGGATGACTGAGGGGTAGTAAGCATACGCAGACATCAAAAACATGATCCAAAGGAATGGGTTGCCTACATTAGTAAAATTCAGAGACAGAATGTAGAATGCTGATCGCCAGGCTCTGGCAGGAGCAGGTAAATGAGTTATTGTTCAATGGATATAGTTTCAGTTTATAAGATGAGCTTTAGAGACGATGGTGGCGATGGTTGCACAACCACATGGATGCACTTAATACCAAGAACCTTACAGGTTAAAATGGTTAAGATGGTCCATTTTAATTGTGTTTACCATTCTTAAAGAAATGGGGAGAAAACGAGCAAATGCAGAAGGGCTAACCCCAGGCAGAGTGGCCGGCGTGTCTCGGGACCTGCGGTGGTGCAGAAACGAGGGAATGCAAACGTTCTGATACTTACCTCTCAGCAGACTTAGATTTCCATCTTAGGTGTTGGAGGTCATGACCAGAGTCAGCCAAGGACCTTTAGAACGGTTGACTTGACTTTACAGAGTATGTCCCTTGTTACAAGTGCATTTACATTCTGGCCATGAGGATGGCCCAGCACCCAAATGATTGGTTCCCCATCTTTATAAGCTCATGTCAGGAAAAGCTGAGGACCTGCCATAGTGAGATGTGGGCTTTACATCTCTTCCCAGGTGCCCGTTGACTGGCCCAAGACCTAACCCAGATCTTGCTCAGACTCCAGACTGATGAGCTATCACCATCAGGGCTGAGACTTCATCTGGATGCCCGGCCACCACAGTTGCCTGTAGTGAGCTGGTTTGAAGTGTGAGTAGCTTCAGGGACACTAAGGCACACAGGGCCAGAACCTGACTTTTTTCAAACTATAGAGTGTGGCACCTGCTTTTCTAAGTGTGACTTTTAGAAGTTGGATTTGGAGGTTGAATCAGTGCAGTGTAAAGAAAGCAACTTTTCTTGAAGGGAGAGGGTCAGGCCAGATTTGCGTGTGTCTATTTTTCTTAATATCTGAGGCTGAGGATGTTTTTCCATTTATTTTCATATAGAGTGTGAGGGAAAGAGAGGAACATCCATGTGACAGAGACACACTGATTGGCTGCCTCCTGCATGACCCGGACCAGGGCTGGGGACTGAGCCACAACAGAGGTACATGCCCTTGACCAGAATCAAACCCAAGACTCTGGTCCATGGGTATTAACTGCTGAGCCAATCTGGCCAGGACATGTTTTTTTAAACAACTCTAAGCCATGCCAATATTCTATCAAAAGGTGTGTGAAAGCAAGTGTTCCCAGATTGGGTTGGAGAAAAGAGAGCAATAAAATAAAGTCTGGCTTGCAACCTTGGTTTCCTCAGCAGTGAATCTCGGCTGGGTGCTGTCTGTCCGCAGGGTCGGTGCTGAGGGTGATTTGATGCAAACCCATCCTTGGACTTCGTAGTTTGCATGAAAAACCAAAAATGTGCAAGGAGCTCTCCAGCGCTGGAAACTCATATTTGATGTGATGTGTCACTGTGATGGCTCCAAGCTCAGTGACATAAGAGGGGGGTGGTGACACACCAGCTTTCTGAACCTGAGGCCCAGCCCCACCCCCCATTATTGCCCTCAGTTGCCTTTACTATGACTTCCCCTTTCTTGCTCCAACACACCCAGCCCTTTGCTGCTCAGGCCTGAGACTGGTTGTCCACACTGAATGGTGCGTGCGATGTACCATGGTCTCACATGGTATGTGTGTTTGTCTCCTCATCACAAGTGGGACTGTCCCCCAGCCCTTTAAAGGGGGTTTTCTGAGCTGTGTCTATGTGGCTGTCCCTCTGAGTCTGTATAACAGAGACAGTTAGTGTCTGTCTGACCTGAGAAAGCTGCCAGCCCCTCACCATGTCTCTGAAGTTTGAGCAGTTTCCTGATGCAAATCCTGGAGCTGCCTCTGGTCCTGACTGTTTGTTTTTTTGTTTTGTGAAACCTGAGTCTGGGTGTTTTGAATCCCAACAGTCTTTAGCATCATGTGAAGTTGTTTTCTGGGGTATGTAGTATATTGACTATTTCCTCAAGATAAACCCAGTTCCCAGCCATAGTATATTTTCCTAACACCTCCGACTGAGAAAATGATGGGAAGGAAGGAAGAACTGGCTGCTCAATTTATTGTCCCTCCCAGCTTTGCCCTAAATCCCCACTTGCTGAGAAAGGGTTTATGCACTTACATTGGACTAATCAAACAGCATCTGGCTGTTCATTTTGTTGTTTCTGTGGTTGTTAATCCACACCCAAAGATTGTTTTTTCCATTGATTTTTAGAGAGAGAGAAGGGGAGTGTGGAAGAGAGGGGGAAACATTGATGTGATTGCCACCCTGGGGCTGAGATTGACCCACCATCTTGCACGACCCAACCAGGGCCGGGTATGGAATTGCAACTGAGGTGCATGCCCTTAACCCGAATCAAACCTTTGACTCTTTGGTCCATGAGCTGACACTCCAATGCTCAGCCAAACCTGTCAGGGCTATTTAAATTCTTTAATTGAATTTCTTCATCTCTATAATGAGCATAATAATTGTATCTACTTCATAGGTTTGTTGAGAGAATTAAATGAACATGTATAGACCACAGTAGAGCTCCGTAGACGTGAGCTCCCTCCTGTGCTCTACTCCCTCCTCTCCTGAAAGACTAACACTGTCAGCATTTCAGATGTGCACATCAGTCTTCCTCCCAGGGGAAGGAGAAACCTAATCTCACAGGTCCTCTGACATTCAATTGCAGTAGCATTACCTTGAGTACTTTCAAATGCAAATTCCCACATCCCAGATCCCAACCCACTGAATCCTAATGTTTGCAAAGGATGCTGGGAACCTGCATTTTATCACGTGCCCCAGACAATTCAGATGCAGGTAATTCACCGGCCACAGAACCATCGCCTTATGTGTTCTTCACAAAACATGCCCATCAGCTGTGTTTCTCTTTCCTATGAACATGAACCCCGGCATGAATTTCCTCTCCTCTTTACCAGGAAGAGTGGTCCCCTCTGTCTTTTTTTATATTTATACAAACCCAAGGACATTTTTCGATATTTTGTTTAGATAGAGTGTGAGGGAGAGAGAGAGAGAGAGAGAAACATCGACATAAAAGGGACACATTCAGTGGTTGCTACCCACACGACCCAACCAGGGTCGGGGACAAACTACAACGGAGGTACGTGCCCTGAGTGGGAACCGACCCCGGGTCGCTTTGTACCATAGGCCGATGCTCTAACCACTGAGACAAACCCGCCTGGGCTCCTCTGTGCATTTTTCCCCCTACTAGATTGTGACCTCATTAGGGGTTAGGTATTATCTCCATTCCCAGTGCAAAGGAAATGGCCCAAACATAGAAGATGCTTAGTTGCTTGTTGAATAAATAAATGACCAAAAATTTAACCACTCCGCACCTCGCCAAAAGCTCTATATGCTATAAATTTAGTTTCACAAAAACCCCCGGAGGTAAACCCATAGAGACAGACTGAGATCAGGGACTGTCGGGCTGAGCAGCGGGGAGGAGGAATGACTGATACCAGGTCCTGGTGTGTGTGGATGATGATGCTCTGGAACTAGAGAGTGGTTGTGATGTGACTATAGTCGCTAAATGTTGTGAATGCGCTTAGTGCTGCTGGAACGTACACTTGGAAGGATCATACAGTTTCCTTTGATTTTATTTAAATTAAGTTAATTTTATAGCATTTCATTACATTTTACTTAAAATATATTTTATTTTAACTTATAATAATATAAGAAAATTTTTTTTTCCCTGTGAGGCTGGAGTTTCCTGGGAACCACAAGGTGGTTCTGGGGCCTCTTGGCCAGTTGGCAGCTGGGCCCTGGGCTGGGTTGAGTGGCCTCCGTGTTCTGCTCAGAACGCGCCCAGCGGGAGGCTGGCTCTTGGCCTCTGGCCGCTCAGCTCTGAGACTGGGCACACACCAAGGCTGGCCCTCGGGGGAGGTGACTCCTGGCATCCAGGAAGGACAGGGGTCAAAGGCAAGAACTCCTCTCACTGGGGTATCAGGATCCTGAGGACAAAACACACCTTCCAGGAGTCTCCTGCTCAACACTGCCTGCCTGACCTCCCACCCGTGGAAGTGTTCTCGTTAATAACAGAGCAGTTGGGGGCTCCCAGTGGGGGTCACCACATTAGTTTCCAGGTTGTGAGCACATTTGCACTTATGATGGTTTCTCTTTGTGTTTCTAGAGTCTGTCTCTACAGTAAACTAAATTGTTAAGAGAAGAGCAGCTGGGCCCTCCTGGGCTCGGCCACTGCAGGGCGAGAAGGTGGACTTGGGGTTTCAGAAGAGGCAGACGGGGAAGTGCTGGACGTGGGAGGACCACGGGGCGTCCAGCTGGAGGGACTGCACGTCCTTCCACTCCACGCCGTCGATACGGACGCGCTGCACGTTCTGCTGGTGCTGGGCCGTGTAGACCAGGCGGCTGATGCCCTCGATGCAGTGGCTTTGGGCCTCCACATCCTCCTCCTCAGTGTCCTGGTCCTTGGTGATGACAGTCATGGACAAGCTGGGCGTGGCTCTGGCCTCACCCCTGCTGGGCAGCCTGCTGACCTGGAGAGACTGGAAGGTGCCCTTGAGCATGTTGGTGGCGGTACGCTGGTCTCTGTCCTCCGCATCTCTCTCCTTGTCTGTGGGCCGAGCTGCCGTCCAGTAATCCACCTGCAGCTCCATCGGCTCGGTGCAGACGCCCTGGCTGGGGGAGGAATTCCCACTCACGGACGGGGAGGCGGACGGGCTGTGAGAGGCCTCCTTGGCGGCTGGAGATGTGGACGGCAGGGTGGACGAAAGCACACTGGAGCACGAGGGGGCCGCATCACCTGAGTCTCCTGAGGTGGCCAAGGACGGTTCCACTGTTTCCACCTTCACCAGCCCCAGGAAGGGAGTGAACCTCTGTGAGGACTGCTCATCGGGGCTCTTTGGCTTGCAGGTGAGCTTGGCTTGAGCGATGGGCAGCTGGTGGACACAGCTGGCCCCCACGAGGTAGCGGGTGACTGTGAATGCGATGTCCTGCTTGGTCAACTCAGTGCTCTGGGCCTCCAGCTTGGTGAACAGGTCCCGCCAGGCCCGGTCCGGGAAGAAGTTGTTGTCGTGGTAATCCACGGAGCACAGGTATCGGGGCACGGGGTGGGACCCCAGTGGGAGGACCTGGAAGCACATGTAGGCCTGCAGCTTGGGCATCTTGGGGGACAGCTGCTCCACGCAGAGCCGCAGCACGGCGCTCAGGTAGTGCTGTGCCCCCACCACCGCGATCTTCATGGGTATTCGAGGCCGGGCATGGTGTTGGCTGTATCTCTCCATCTGCGACACGGTGGCACTGAAGGCCGCCTGGAGGTCAGCCTCGGAGCAGGTGCCCACCACAGGCAGATTTTGCTGCTGCAGGATGTCCCACAGGAACTGCCCCTGCCAGTCGGAGGTGTTGATGACGATGACATGGTCAGGCAGCTGGTCGTAGGGGTAGAGAATGGCCTTAAGCTGCTCAAGAACACTTTCCCTGGGGACCTGCAGCTGGCTCTGTGGGTCTGGGCAGGTCTTGTTGTGCTGGCTCTGGGACAGCTCCTCCTGCGGCCCCGCCTGCTGCTCCCCCATGAGGGACATGCTCTGGCCTTTGTGGTTGGGCTGCTTCCACTCGGGCTTCGTGGAGGTACTGATGAGAGACTCTGGTTTTCTGAGAAGCCTGCTGGCCAGCATGCTGCGTCTTTGTGAACTCATCCTCCATGGAGGTCTCGGCCTCCGGGCTGTCCTCCGGCTGTGCAGGCTGCTCCTCAGGGGAGGGCGTGCTGTGGGAAACTGAGTCGGCAAAACTGTCATCCAGCTGCTGGCCTCCCGGGGCCCACACCTCTGGAGCGTTGGTGGGACTAAGAGGCTCCATGTGGTTCTGGGCACTTTGGATGCTGTCGGTCTCCGTCTCCAAGGAGGACTGTGACAGGTATTCTATATATGGCTCGAGTTTGGTCTCAGGGGTGCTGGAGATGCTGTCACCATTCCACAAGTCAGGGCCACTAGGGGTGGGCCTGCTGTGTGCAACTGGCTGTGAGATGCTGTCGCTCGGCTGCTGGCCCCCCGAGGACCACATCTTTGCTGGCACACTGGCTGGACTCGGAGGCTCCTTCAGGCTCCAGGCACTTTGGAAGCTCCCGGACTCTGTGTGCAGGCTGGTTTGTGACAGGCTTTCTATGTATTTCTGGACCTGGGACTTGGGGGTGCTCAAGGTGCCATCATCATCCTCCGTTTCGGGGCCACTATCGCTGGAATACTCCAGGGTGATGTTGATCAGGTTCAGGTCTTCCTCCATCCTGGGGCCATGCTCCCCAGTGTCCTGCTCAGAATCCAGGACCCCCTGTGACACTGTGAGCTTGGGCAGCAGCCTCACATCTTTTGGCCAGAAGCTTTGATGTTTCATCATAGATGTAGTCTCTACTGATGACTGCCACTGCTTGTTGGGTTTCCCCGAGTCCATGTCATCCTTTTCCAGGTCTTGCCCATATGAAGTGTTTTTCCTGTCCTCCTGCCCAGAGTGGAAGCTCTCCTTCTCCTCCTCGTACTTATCTGTGGCCTTGGCGATGGGGCCAGCCTGCATGGCACAGTCCTCATGCTCGATGGGCTGGCTGGTCAGGGAGAAGATCCAGATCTCGGCCACCTTGGGGTTGGCATCCTTCAGGCTGCTGCAGAGGCTCAACACCTGGCCTCCCTCGAGGGGTTGCTGCATCACCTCGGCCATGTTGATGGTACCTGTGGCCAGTGTTTTGTACGCATCCATTTTGCAGTTCAAGAGGGTCCGCACCTTTGAGCGCTTTCTGCGCTGCAATATGATCTCCAGCTTGTTGCCTTCTCCCTTTAGGATGTGGGGATATCGCAGGGAGAAGGTCAACGTCAGGTCATTCTCCCTGTGTCCACTTGGGGGCAGCATGATCTTGTGGGACCTGAGGAGGTGCTTGGATCCCTGCATCCTGATGGCTATAACTGCCGATTGCAGCTCATGCCCAAGGTCCCCGCAGACCACCAGCTTCTTCACAGTGAGGCTGCACAACCTGGGCACGCAGGTGGGGCAGGAGACGTCCACCTCCCAGTCAGGGAACTGATCCACAGACACCGTCCTGTTGAGTGCTGCTGGTGCACCGGCCTGGCTTCCGGTTCTGGACGAAGATGCAGACGCCTGCACCATGTTGGTTTTCCTTCTGTTCAGGGTGAATGATCTCTCTCCCTGGGGTGGGACAGAGAGGGACATGCTGTCAGAGGCAGCTCATGAAGTGCCAAGTGGGATGGTCACTGCAGCTAAGACTGAACCCACAAGCCATTAATGATTATGGCAAGAGGTGGGACACAGGTGACGACAGGAAAGAAAAGGTTCTTAGTGAAATAGACCCAGAGACATCGAAGTAGGGTATAGACTGAGAGAACGCAGAAGAGGGAGTTGGGGGAGGGAAAAGATAAACCACAGAACTTACATGTGTATATGGCTAAACAATGGACATAGACACCCATGCTGGGGATGAAGTGTGGGGGGGACTCGGGAGCAGGGAGTCAAGGGGAGAGAAGGAGAAACATCTATAACAAAAATTGATCAATTTGAAAATGAAGAAACAAAACAAAAGGTTTATGGCAGGAAATGTAGAATTGAAGTGAGGACAGAGGAAACACTTCAGTATCTCAGGTGACTATTTTGGCAGAGGATGGACAGCACCCCCTGTATTAAACTGTCACCCTGGGATGTCTGACTAAACACCCCATTCTAAGATGAGAACACAGAGGTTTCCCTGGGGTGGAGGGTCAGGATATTAGGACTATGGGATGTTCAGAGCAGCACCACTGAAATGGTAACTGAAGGGATCACGTCTTGGTCCCGCTGCAGTGAAGATGTGGATCGTCATGGTAACCAGTCCCCCTCCTGCTGTGTTTTGCAGCCCGTGGGCCCCCAGCTCCTTACCTGTAGGGGTCAGGATGATGAGATTCTCCAGGGCAGCCAATGGCAAAGCAATAGACCTGGTACCATGGCACCCCCAGTTCCTTACCTGTAGGGGCCAGGATGACGTGGTCCTTGGGGCAGCCAATGGCAAAGCAACAGACTTGGTACCAGGAGTCCCATGTACTTTGGGGAAAAACATCACTACTAATCATGATGGTGTGTTAGACTGGGACAAGTTGTGCAGGGATTACCAGGCAAACATGGACACCTGGGGATGGGCAGTAAAAAGGGAATGTCTGTAGACAAACAAGGTCACTACATAATTCGAAAGGAATTGATCCAACAAGAAGCTAGAACTCGGGTAAACATATATGCACTCAGTATAGGAGCACTGAAATGTATTTTTAAAAACTCTTGGAGGACATTAAGAGAAATTGACAGCAATATAGTCACAGTAGGGGACTTTAACACCCCACTGACTTCACCTAATAGATCTTCCAGACAAAAAATTAACAAGAAAACAGTGACCCTACGAAGCACACTAGACCAGATAAACCTAATGGACATTTCACCCCATAGCTGGAGCGTACACATCCTTTTCACGTGTACATGGGACAGTCTCAAAAAGGGACCACATGTTAGGACACAAACTAAATCTGTACGAAATACAAGAGGGTTGAAATCATATCAAATGTCTTCTCTGATCACAATAGCATGAAATTGGAAATCAACTAAATAAAAACACTCAAAAGCCTTCAAACACATGGAGGCTAAAGTACATGTTATTAAATAATGAATAGGTTACCAATGAGATCAAGGAAGAAATGAAATATTCCTAGAAAAAAATGAAAATGAACATACAGCAACCGCAAATTTCTGGGATGCATCAAAAGCAGTCCTGAGAGGGAAAACCATAGCACCACAGGCCAAACTGCAGAAACAAGAAAAGTAGCTAATAAACTATTAACCCTACAAATTAAGTAATTAGAAAGAGAACAGAAGAAAAGCCCAGAGTAAGTAGAAGAGAAGAAACAATAAAGATCCAAGTGCAAATAAATGACAGAGACTAACAACAACAAAAATTATATATAGATAAAAAATCAATAAAAATAACTGCTGGTTCTTGGAAGAGATAAGTAAAATGGTGATCTTGTAGTGAGACTCATCAAAAATCAAAGAGAGAGGACCCATAAATAAAATCAGAAATAAAAACAGGTGAAGTAACAACAAAAATATAAACAATTCTAAGAAACTATTAAAAACAACTTGGACAACCTGAGAGAAATGGAAAATTTCCTAGAAATTGTAGTCTTCCAAAACTGAATCAGGAAGAATCACAAAGTCAGAATAGACCAAGATGATGATGATGACGACGACGACAATGACAACAACAACAATGACAAAATTGGAGCAGTAATCAGAAATCTCCCAGAAAACTAAAATCATGGACTGTACAGCTTCACAGTGGAGTTTGATCAAATATTCAAGAAGAACTAACTCTTCTTCTCCTCAAACTAGTCCAAAAAATTCAAGAGGAAGGAAGAGTTCCAAGCTCTTTTTATGAGAACATCATTATCCTAATTCCAAAACCAGATAAAGCCACTGTAAAGAAAAAAACCTACAGGCCAATATCCCTGATAAACATAGATGCCAAAATCCTCAACAAAACATTAGGAAATTGGATCCACATGTATATTAAAAAGGATTATTCACCATGACCAAGTGGGATTCATCCCAGGGATGCAAGGTTGGTACAAAATTTGCAAATCAATAAATGTGTTCATCACATAAAGAAAATGAAAGATAAAAATCATTTGATCACCCTTGCTGGTTTGGCTCAGCAGTTAGAGCATCAACCCACGGACCAGAGAGTCCTGAGTTTGGTTCCTGCTAGGGGCATGTACCTTGATTCCAGTTTGTCCCAACCCCGGTTCGTGTGTGTGACGACCACTTGATATGTCTCTCTCACATCGATGTTTCTCTCTCTCTCTTCCTCCCTCTCTCCTTCCCGCTCTATCTGAAGATAAATGCAAAAATAAGTCCTCAGGTGAGGATAAAAAAAATTTTTGATTGTATTAATAGATGCAGAAAAAACATTCAACAAAACCCAGGGATGCAAGGTTGGTATAAAATTTGCAAATCGATTTCTGATAAAACATCTCAGCACAATGGGAGTAGAGGGATTATATCTAAACTTAATACAGGCCGTATATGAAAAACCTACAGCCAACATCATAATTAATGGGCAAAAACTAAATGGCACCTATATAAAAAAGGAGGAAGTGAAACTGTCATTATTTACACATGACAGGATATTGTACATAGAGAACCCTAAAGACTCCACCAAAAAGCTACTAGATTTAAAAAATAAATTTGGCAAATAGCAGGATATAAAATTAACATCCAGAAATTGATGGCATTTGTATACACCAATAATGAACACACAGAAAAAGAAAACAATCTCATTTACCATTACAACAAAGAATAAACTTAACCAAGGAGGTAAAAGACCTGTTCTCAGAAAACTACAGGACATTGAACAAAGAAATGGAAAAAGATGTGCACAAATGGAAGCATATATCATGTTCATGGATTGGAAGAATTAACATAATTAAAATGCTCATACTACCCAATGCAACCTATAGATTCAATGCCATTGCCATTAAAACACCAGTGACATATTTCTCTGATCTAGAACAAATACTCCAAAAATTTATATAGAAACCAAAAAGAACAAAGCAGAGACCCAATAAATTGACCCAAGCCATTACCCTCAATATTTGACAAAGGAAGCAAGAACCTACAATGGAGTAAAGACAATCTCTGCAATAAATAGGACAGATATATGCAGAAATCATAAAACTGAACTACCAACTGAACCATACACAACAATGAACTCAAAATGGAGCAAGATGGCAGCGTAGGTAAATGCGGTATCAGGTCCTCCCACAACCACATCAAAGTTACAACTAAACTACAGAACAACCATCATTCAAAACTGCCTGAAACCAAGCTGAATGGAAGTCCTGTAACTATGGAATTAAAGAAGCAGCCACATCGAGACTGGTAGGAGGGGCGGAGGTGGAGGGGTTGGTCCCATACACACATGTGGCGGATAAAACTCAGGAGGACACCTCAGCTGGGAAGGTCCTTCCTGAGGACTGAGGGGTCCCCATCCCACACCAGGCACCCCACTCAGGGTTCCAGTGCCAGGAAGAGAAGTCCCCATCACTTCTGGCTGGAAAAACCAGTGGGAACTGAGGCTCAGGGAGGCCGAGGCGGCTGGAGCCCCAGGCAGCTCCTTAAAGGGCCCGCGCACGGACTTATCGGACTCTCTCCCTCTAAGCTTGGAGGGGAGGCAGCTCGAGGGGCGCCAGAGACATACAGGGAAGAACTGAGCTGTTTGGCACTGGAGCGAGGGCTGGAGAGGGGGCTTTCTCCGGGACAAACGTGCTGTAAGAGGCCTTTGTTCCTTTGGTGAGCCCTTCCCTGGGGCAGCAGACAGAAGCCATATCTGGGACTCCAGCAACCTGGCTCACACTGGTAGCCCCGCCCTGCTGACTCCCGGAGGCCCTGCCACACCCAACTCTCAGGCCCACCCAAGCTGTTGCCAGTTGCTTAACCATAGGATTGGCCTGTCTTGGATCCTGCTTCAGGTTTTCCTAAATTCTTTCAAACAAGCAGCATCTGGTCTCAGCTAGCCCCATACCTCTTGTTAAGTAATACACAGAAACAAACACAGGGAGGCAACCAAAATAAGGAGACAAAGAAACAGATCCCAAATGGAATAACAGAACAAAACTCCAGGAAAAGAACTAAGCAAAATGGAGATAAGCAACCTAACAGATGCTGAGTTCAAAACACTGCTTATTAAGGACGCTCAATGAACTTAGTGAGAACCTCAGCGAACTTAGTGAGGGCCTCAAGAGCATAAAAAAGGATCAGTCAGAAATGAAGGAGGCACAGTCAGAAATGAAGGAGGCACAGTCAGAAATGAAGGAGGCACAGTCAGAAATGAAGGAGGCACTAACTGAAATAAAGAATAACTTACACAGATTCAATAGTAGAGTAGGTAAAACCAAGAAGAAAACCACTGATTTGGAATATAAGGAAGCAAAAAACACCTAATCAGAACAGCAAAAAGAAAAAAGAATCCAAAAAAATGAGGATAGTGTAAGGAGCCTCTAGGACAACTTCAAGCGTGCCAACATTCGCATCTTGGGGGTGCCAGAAGGAGAAGAGACAGAAGAAGAAATCAA